GCTCAAGCAGAAGCCGCGCAACGTCAAGCAGCCCATGATCACCAAGTCCGTGGTGGTCAATGTACTGCTCAGTGCAAGCATCATTGTGCTGGGCACGCTGTGGGTGTTCCAGCGCGAGATGGCTGACGGCACGCTGGGCAAGACGAAGCGGGATACGACCATGACATTCACGTGCTTTGTGTTCTTTGATATGTTCAATGCGCTCTCCTGTCGCTCGCAAACGAAGAGTGTCTTCACAATCGGACTGACCACCAATCGGATGTTCCTGCTGGCCGTTGCCTTCTCGATCATTGGCCAAATGCTGGTCGTCTACTTTCCGCCGCTCCAAATGGTTTTCCAAACGGAGGCGCTCACCGCCTACGACATACTCTTTCTGGTCACGCTCACCTCCTCCGTGCTCGTTGTCTCTGAGATAAAGAAGTGGTTCGAGCGCTCCCTCGAGCGCAAAATGTACAGCACCCGATCCGAGTTGGACTTTGTATGACAAAACGCAAGCGCTAGAGCTGAGTTGCACCCAAAAGCCGAGTAAATTAAATAATAACAAAACAAAAAAAAAAAACCACAAAAAAATAGCAAAACTATGCAAAAACCAAGTGAGGAGCGTGGCAGCGTAAACGGCAGAGAGCGAGGGCGAGAACGGGAGCGAGGGCGAGCGAAATTTAGCGACAACAGTGTGATTAATTTTACATTTGACTTAGTGAGCGCCGAATTCAAATCCACATCCAAATCCAAATACATTTACCAACCCAGCCACAAATTAGCAAACAACAGCAAAAAAATTTAAAATAGAAGAGAAAATCACACACAAAAAAACGGGGAGAAACAAGAAATTACCGAAAGAGTTTCGAATGGCCAATAAAATTCGCAAAATTCTTATGATCGATCCTGGCAAATCCAAAAGATTTCTCGTATGTAACATTTGTTATCAAAATTTCATGTTATGTTTCGTGCTGCGTCTCATCAAAATTGATCGATTTGCATAATGTATAATTTTAATTTGATAATTTTAAAATTCCTAATTTTGTAAGTAGACAAATTTGTAGTTTGTATTTCATTTGTATAATTGAGTTTTAAGTTTGCGCAACAACAAAACACGTTTTAAACAATTGCTTCGAGTTCTTTATAAAAGCAAAACACGAAAGAAACAAAACAAAAACAAAAACAAATCTCTGTATATCTCAGCGCATCCGAATTATATTTGTATTATTTATAAACATTTCGAGTTCGAACAAGTCCGAAATCCAAATTGAAATCTTTTCCATTTACACACGTTAGTTATTTAATTATTTTGTAATTTAAGGTCGTATCAAAGTGTTTAATATTCTGACTTGAATACCTGTAAAACATTTTAATGTGATATTATTTTAAGCACATCCAAAACGAGCAACAACAACACTCTTCACACATATTATTTTTAAACATTTCAATTTGATTATGACTCTAATCTGCTCCTTAGCTAAACAGGTATTTTAAATTTGTTTTTTATTTAAATAAATATGTTTCATTCTAATCAAATCAGTTGCAATCAATTAATCAATTACTATCGTCTATTCACTTTCTTCCCGCAGCAGCAACCCAGCAATAGTCCAGTTCGATTCGGTGGCAGCTGCATTCAGTTAACAGAAAACATTCCCGACAAAATGTAAAATGAAATGTGCAACACGAGTAGCGGGGAGAACGCAAAGCGTAGCAAATGGTTTTTTTTTAAATAATTTTGTTAATTAATTTATTCGGTAATTCGAGCAACAGCAAAAACAACTCTAGCGCGTGAGGCGAAAATCATGAAGATGTTGACAATTTTTGAGACAATTCAAAAGAAACAAAAAAAAAACAAAAGAAAACAAAAACTAGTTTTATTCGAAATTCAAGCTCTCAACTAAGATTTGATCTTGAGCGAAATTCATTTAACCAATGGAATTTATTAACAATTAATAACAATAAAGTTAGTTGCCATTACAAAGGCTTTTCATAGACACCAAGTTACAGCAACGGCAACTGCAATTCACATTTAGGTTAACAAGCAACAAAAAAAGCAATAACTAAAACAATACCAAATTCATTTATGAAAGAGAATTAAACTATGCATTAAATTATATTAACAATGTAAAAGAGGTTCTCAATGCAAGTTTTGTAGTTTCCGTTAAACAACAAAATAGATTCTGAATAAACAAAAATATTTATTTAATGGCAATCAATATGCAAGCAAAAATGAAAAACAAAAATGAATAATCGTTATTTAGACAACTATCAAATGTAAACGAAATGTTCTTAACTACTTATTAATGTTCTCTAGAGCATCGAATCAATATCATGAACAGGCAACTCATATCATCACAGCTCAGCATTGACCCAGCATCCAGCATCCAGTTGATGGGCGATATTTTTGGCAGTTACACAGCGCACCGGAGCACCACTTCTTCTATACACACTGTTAGATTTGGAACCGTTTTACCAGTTAGGGACGACAGTAGTCGATGCATATCACATTCGTACTTCAGGAGACGGAGGAAGCTGGCTACTTGGCCTGGCTACTTGGTCTTTGATCGCTCGCACTTTGAAACATCTATTTGCACTTTTCGGCATTTTGTCGAACGAATAATCAATTTCTCGATTAAAAACAAAATTCGTATACTTTAATGGACCAAGCATAAATATTTATTGCAATTGTTTATAACAAACGCGTATCACACACACATACACACACACACGCACGCACACTCGTCGAACAGCAAGCTGCACACACTCATATATCATGGCAAGAAAACAACACACAAAAAAAATGAAAAATATATAAAAAAAAATATGGGAAAAAAATGAAAAACTAATTGAATATTTAAACTAAATCTAAATCTAATGTCATCATCCTAAAGACTCTGAAAATCATCATCCACGAAACATACAACCCAAACACAAAGTACACAGAACATCTCATCCACAATGGTAACAATAATTAGTAAATTAAGTGTATTTAATTAATTAACAATTGCATATGTGAATGTCTGAATAATAAATGAATTAAATTATTAGTGGAATATTAGCAAACATGCACATGCACACTTATGCATCTATATATGCATGTGTGTGCGTGTGTATCTGATGGAAAGTTCTACGGCGAAGCATAATTTTCGCTTGCTGAACTAACTAAAATGGAAAGCAAATAAATATTTATTAATAATACTTTAATAATATATAAAACAATACGAACTTCATCATGTGCTATGTGTAAATGTCTAAAGCTAATTACACAGCAACTCTCTAATCTCTCCGTTTTGGTTCTACCTATTAAGATATTTCAATAAAGCTCAAATATACATGGCCTTTCGATTTCTGCTCTATCTAATAGATCTTATCTGTGTGAATTGGTTAATCCTGTACAAATCAAAGGAATTACTATAATTTGGCTCTTTCTGACAAATTCAAAGATGATAAAAACTAAAAAAAAACTATGTCTAACTGTGCTATTAAATGTAAGCTTATATAATATACATAGATGAATATCCATACTGGAGCTAACAAACAAACAGTAATGCAGAATTTATAATTTTCAAATATTTTCCACATTCTACAATTTCTTTTAATTTCGGTTTTCTTTCACATCTTTCAACTTAAATCTAAACTTAGCTAACGCAAAATGATATACTTAACTTAAACTGCAATTAAACAAAAAGAAATTTCTATAATTTCTTTTTTAGTTAACTTAAATTGCGCTCTACAAAACTAAAAGCTAAAACAAAAAAAAAACACTAAATAAATTATACAACTTACAATATACGAGTACGAGTATGAAATAAATTAAACCAATATATAAGTATTTATTATGTATCACCGAAAATAAATAAACAAAAAGCAGAATGCAAATATTTACTAATAAAACTAACTTTATGTAGTACAAAACGAAGTCTATTTTATTTAATGAGCATTCTTATTAGAATAATTATCACCTGTCGTTACAGATTCGTAGCATTCGGTGCTTGTCAGTTGCGCTGCGTATGAGTAATAATCAGCGCCATCTAGTGTTCATTAACTACATTAGCAATTCGCACAAAGTGAAAAGCGCCCTTGTGTCTCCATAGATAAGCAGCGCCATCTATGATTGGAGTTTTTAATAAATTAACTATCAAAGTTGCCCTTCGAATGGAACAGATATTTAGAACAGGCTCCACTGTTGTTTGCTACAGTCTTATATTTTTTTACTTTTCTAAGCATTTTTTTACGGTATAATGTTGGAAGAGGACGATAGAAAATGCGATGAGCGTTACAGCTATATTGAGACAAAGCCGACCTATGGCAGCACCGTCTTAACAGGCCACTGGTTTCATATGCGTTGCGAAAATATGAAACAGAGCAGTACTGCCGTGGTGCCCTGTGTGTTGGAGGAATCAATTCAGCAAAAGGGATGTGGGCGACACGTGACCACCTGTCAGCAGGCGTTCTCATTGGAAGGCTGCATAAAAGATGAATTGACACGCGACTATGGGGAACTTAAATTGAACAGCTTCAGCAATCACATGGCGCAGCGCACCAGCTATAAGAGCTTGGATGCCGAGAAATACAATCGCAACTTTACGTCCTTCAATTATTTGGTATACGAACTGTGGCCCAGGGCGGCGCGGAAGACTCGTAGTGAGTTGCTAAAGACTATGTCCCCGTATGACGCCGACAAGAAGATCGCACATGCCGCATCACCCGACCCCCTCGATGCCTACGACAATCAACAAGCAACAAAGTACGACCCCAAAAGACATCTTGAGGCGGTATGTCTCCCGCCCACCTCCTACAAGCTCGAATTCAAGGGGAAATTTTCAGCGGCAGCCGAAAGTGCAAAAATGGAGGACAAGATTGGTAGACTCGGCTGACCAACAAGCCCATGATCAAATCTGCTCAGATTGCAAATGAAGCAATGTGTTAAACAATTGAGAGCAATAAACTCGATTTTTTGAAAATCATAAATATGGACCCATATGTCTATGAATTTGCTGTTCACTTTAAATCTCCGTAACACACAGATTGTAGTTCAGTTCCTAGTTTTTCAGATTTCAGTTTTTTGTTTTCAGTTTTAATTTTGGTTATTTTAATTTTCCATGCTATCTTATGGATAATTTGGTAACACCACCATATGGCACGGAGGTGTTGATTGGCAATTGGGTGGATCGGCGCTATGCGTTCGATCAGAATGGCAAGGGCATACTGCCGGGTATGTGTGGTGACGACACTTGTGAGAGGCATCTCTCGCTCGCCCAGGACACGTATACGGATGCAGCATTCAAGGCTGCAGTGGCATTGCCCAATTTTTCGGATCACCGCAATTCATTTATGCGCAACTATTTTACGGGCACCACATCCAGTGTCGCCTTTTTGAACGATGCTGCGCTTAAGAGAAATTTCACGACGACAAACACCTTACTGTACGACCTGTTGCCTCGGCTGGACAGGGAGGCGCACGCCGAGAGCAACGCAGCGCCATCTGGCATACCCGAGCATAGACAGGAGTTGGACATGCTGCGGAGCTATGGTAATATGACCAAGACGTTCAGCATTGCGGAGCTTTCCAAACCAAGAAAACCCCTTGGGGAAAAACTTCGATTGCGAACCACATACGATCTTGCCTTTAATAAGCTCCCAAGGACTAAAATGGATTTCCGCTAAAAGGGAAAAGCAACCAAACTGAAGTTAACAATAAAGCTGAGCTAGGAACGCAACAAGCCAGCTGTGAGGCTAGCTATGCCTATGCTTATGCTTCGCTTCTAGCGCCCCAGCTGTCTCGTTGAGTTCAAAGTTCATATAAAATGGGCTACGATTGTTTCCTTGCTGATTTGCCGGGTATGTTGCAGTCTGTCAGAGTCCCCTATGAAATCTTGGTTATCTTGAGTAGGTATCAAAGTATGTCGGACTATATCACGAGTAGATCAACGTGAATCAGTCAGAGTATACCAGAATATAGCCGACTATATTAGAGTGAATTAGAGAAACTCAAGGTATATCAGATCATAGCTAAATTGTTTGAAGTATGTTTGATTTCTTCACACTAGCTACATCAGAGCAGATCAGAGTGAGTCAGAGCATAACAGTTTATTTGGAGCTCGATAAATATCAAAAGACGATGCATTCTTCAGATATAATCTCGCTCTCCCTTCAGCTTTTCTCTACACTTCACACATGAGCTTCTCTTTGCGCTGCCCTCTTCAGCTCCTCTGAGCATTTTTCCCTTTAAATTCTCTGTGCGTCTCTCTTCAGCTTCTTTCTACACTTCACACTTCAGTTTCAATGTGAGCTTCTTTCAGCTTATCCATTCAGTTTCTCTGTGAGCTACCCACTCCTGCTTCTCTGAGCACTTCTGTCTGCTTTATTCTTTGAATATCTAAGCTGACTTCTATCGCTGCTCGTTGCCAAGTCTTCATTTAATAGAAAAATATTCACTATATTTTTTTTTATATTACAAGATTCAATTTTTATTTCATTTTCCATTTTTTCTTGTATAATAATATAAGTTTTTTGGTTTTTTCTTTTTATTTTCGTAATTTAAGTAGTTTCTATTTTTTATTTTGGATGCCAGAAATTCATTGAAGTTTCATTTGTTTTTTTTTTGTTTTTTAATTGTTTTTTTTTTAATATTTTTTTGGTTGCACATGTTGCAAGTGTTGCTTAGCTTTTATTTTGAAATTAGTAGGTCGATTAGACATTTGCAATACTTTTGCCGTGTTATATAATTCATATATATATATATAGATATATATATATATATATAAATATTTATATATATATATATTTTAATATTAATAATTATTACAAAAAGTAAAATTTGACGACATTAAACTAGACGACGTTTTGCATATGTTTTACTCGCTTAAATATTTTACTTTTGCCATGTCTTCAAGTGTGTGTGTGTGTGTGTAAGTGTGTTGTTGTTGTTTAATGTTTTTGCCTTAAAATCGTATGTTGGAGTAAATGTTTGGACAATTGTTAACTGCCTTGAAATTGTTGTTGTTTTTGTTGTTTGTTTGCTTGCTTTGGCTGACGATTACATTATTAAAATTATGCTTAAAATCTAAACCAATGGAAAGAGTTGTGGGCGTGGCCTGTGGGCGTGTCGTGTGTGTACTAAAATGTGTTTGATTTCTGTTTTCTGTGTTGCTTCGAGTCGTTTTAGGTGGTACAAATTTTCGTGTGTGTGTGTGTGGGTGTATCAGGGTGTGGGTGTAAGTGTTGGGGTTCGTGGTTTGTTTCGGTTTGATAAGTAGAAATTTATGTTTTTTGTATTTAAGAAGTGTGCTGATTATATGCTCATATATATAGCTTTTGTATTTTTTGTTTTTGGTTTTTTTTTTGTTTTTGCTTACAACAATTAAAATTTTGAATTTCCATTTTGTTTTTTTATGCTTGTTTTTTTTTTGTATTTTTCTTTAGTATATTTCCGTTGTATTTTCATTTTTGAGAATTTTATATAGTATTTACTTATTTAGCTTCGTTTATGAAATTTTCTTTTTTCTTGCTTCTTTTCTAAATCTGAATTTTTGCCCATTTTCGGTTTCAAAATTTTTATGTTTTAATATATTTTTATTTATTTTTCTTTGTTTCGCGCTTACTATAATTTAGTATTAGTTTTAATTTTAATACCTAAAGTATTTTAATTTTAGTATTACTTAAATCTTGCTGAATTTTCTTTTCATTTCTTAATTTTTTTTTTTGCTTTAGCATTTTTTATGATTTTTTTTTGGTTTTTAAAAAATGATGCTTAAACATTTGGCTTAAATGTAAATTTTGTTTTGTTTGCTCCAAAAATGTAATTTAATGTAAATTGTAGTTGCCGTGAATGCTCAATACTCATATATATATATATATATATATATATATATATATATATATATATATATGTGCTTTTTTTCAATTTAGTTGTTGCCGAGAGGACGTTTCCGTTTATGTATTAGCCGTGAGTTTTGTAAGTTTTGGAATAGGCCGAGAGAGGTTTTTGTATTCATTTTCATTTTGAATTTCATTTAGATTTTGATTTTCTTTTTCTTTTTCTTACTTTGCCTTAAGGTCAAGCCATCATTTTTTAATTTTTTCCCTTTATCATCATAAATTCATGTCCTTTACCTTTTTTCGATTGACCAAACTGTGCCTTGGCGATCCTCGCTCTTGCTTGGGACCTTCTTTTTCGCTTTTCTTTTGACATTCATATTCTTTTGGTTTTCAAAAGTTTTCTTAAATTATTTCCTAAATGCAAATTGTTTTTTATGCTTGCCACAAATATTATATAAAACTTGAGTTTCGAAACTTGCTTTGCCAGTTAGTTCAGAAATGTTCGCTATGTTTTTTGCTCTTAATTTTTGTTGTTGTTGTTGCTTGTTTTTGTTGTTGTTGTTGTTGTGGTGGTGGTATGTGTGCAAAAAAAGGTAAAAGAAGTAGGAAAACTGAACCGAAATTGGTTTAGATTGAAAATCAAATTGAAAACTTAATTTAATGAATTCTTGTAGCCAGTTTTATTGCTTTTCATGTGCATTTTTTCTTCTTTTATTTAATTTATTTTTAAGTTTAGTTTTTATTCCAATTGGTTTTTTCTTTTTACCAGTAAAGTGAGATTTTTTTATATTGTTTTTTGTATTTTTTTTTTGGTTTGTCTCTTGTAATATAAAAAAATGTTTCGTTTTTTTTTATATTTTTCTTGTTTTTTATTTTTATTTTATTTGGTTTCATTTGTTTTTTATATATGTTTAATTCGCTTTGTCTGTGAATTAAATTAGAAATTATATAAATTCATATATAAAAAATGTTTAACAATCGTTTCGTTTTTTCTTCTCTTGTTATTTTGTCTTTAGCTATTGTTAGTTTCTGTTGCTTTAAAAAATATATGTATATAGTTTATTTGTTCAATTTGATTTCATACTTTGTCTGTTGAGTTGCATATTTAACGCTTTTGATTGGCTTCAGCTGCACTGAATTCGTCGTTTGGCTCTGGGCTCTGTCTATTGCTTGGCTGTATAAAAAAGTTGCTCTCACTAAGAAAAATGTTTTGTTTATTGTACTATGGTTGCTGCTTTGCGGTATATGTTGCATTTGTTGTAGATCTCTCCTGGTTACTGTTTGTTCTCTACTTGATGAAAACAGAAGATTCGTTTGGTTTATTGTTGTTTGTTGTTTGTTGTTTGTTATGTCGTCATCAGGCTATGGCTGACTGCAGCAGGTGTCGCGTGCGCGCACACCTGCCCAGCTTGTATCACTATTGCTTTGTATTTGATTAATGGCTTCGGCTCTTACACTGCTCAACAAATATATTATTTCTCACTTTCTGATAAAAATAAAAAACGTTACTTCTTCGAGTTGTAGGAGAGTGAACTTAAATTAGGTTCTGGATTGGGGTTGTTGTGGGGGCTTGGGGCTTGGATATGTTGCGATTGTTCAACTGAAAGAATCGTGTTTAATCGTGTGGGGCGCCCCGTTCATGGGGCACTCCACAGCTTTTTACATTTAGTTTAAAACATAAATTTTAGCTATGTATTTGTATTTGTATTTGTATTTGTATTTGGTTTTTATATTTATTTTGTTTTGGTTTTTGGTTTTTGTATTTTGATTTTATACAACGCACTTGGTTTCTTGGCGGAATGGGAATAATAAATAATTGATTTACTTACTTCGGTACTATTGCAGTTTGTAATTGGTATTATCTTTACATTGTGTGTGTCTGAGTGTGTGTGTGTGTGTGTGCGGGTGTGTCTGAGTGCTGTTTGTATGTACAGTTTAATAATTAATTATATTTGCATAATAATTAGATTGCTCTCTCTTAGCTGAACTCTAAATAAAATTTGTTGCTATTGTAATCTGTCGGTTCGTTCAGCTATTTCTATGTGGTAGTCCCTGTCAGTGGTTTATAATCGTTAATTACAAACTCTATTATGCAATTGTGTCTGTTCTTCAAATAAATGCCAACATAACAAATTGTGTTTCGGTTGCGGATTCTTGGTTTGGTTTGGTTTGGTTTGGTTTGGTTTCTTCTGCTTTAAGCGATCGCAAGTTTTAAAAATATTTGTTTTGCATATTTCACTTAACACTTAGTCAAATACTTTTAAGGGGTTTTCTTTTTCAAGTAAATGTTACTATTATTTTATCAATATATATATATATATATATATATATATATGTGTTTATATATATATTTATTTTTTAGTTTTGTTTTGACTTTTGCTATTTTTTTGTGGTTGTTGTTGTTGTCTTCTGTTTGTTGCTTTATTTAACTATTGTTAATTACTAATTGTTTTTGTTTTTATTTTTATTTGTGTTTCTCTTGCTGCTTGTGTTTGTAAAAAATTCTGTAAAATATTTTCGGTACTATTTCTCTTGGTTTTGTGGCATCGTTTGTCTTGTTGCAAAAACAACAACAGCTCACATCGTATAAGTATAATATATGTTAAATAACTCATTCGATTTGATCTGTTTACTTTAAATTACTTGTTCTATGGGCACATTGTGTGTATTGCAAAAAGCCTCGACGTGGCCCTGGCTCGGCAGCGGGCTGCGGCTCTGCTCCATTTGCTGCCTCTAAATATCTATTGAGTGGGAGTTTGGCTTGGCGATGTCTAGGAACAACGAATCATTGATTTTTGAATTCTTCTTTGGCAAATTCGTTTTTAAACCGAAATTAGGAATGCTGCAGTCGCGCCTAGCCGACTGCACAATACTCGTTCACATGAAAATTATTGCTAAACTTGGATAAGTTCAAGTTTGATCAGATTTAGCTTTGCTGATTTGCTTTTCATGTGACTATTGGCAATGGCAGCTGTGAGGGATCTTGTTAAT